ACGCCAGAAAGCACACTGCTGCCTCTGTTTGCCGCTGAGCAAAGCTTGGCCTGAGTCACTCCTCCTCTAGGGTTTCCATGAATGTTTCCTCCACTACAGACAGAACAGTTATAAACACAGTCTTTTGCCCTTTGAGTGGCAAAGCAGGCCCTGGAAGGTTCCAGAAAAAGTGCAGGACAACATTGACTCCGCTGGATGGGAACTGAGTGAGGGTGCTGCTGCAGGGTCCAGCTTAAACTCATCACTGACCCATTTCCCAGTGGGCTCTGTTGGCAGCAAAAACAGGTTTTGCCCAGCACATCTCAAAGGTTTTCCCCCAAAGTAATCGTGAGGCCTAACCAGAGTGAGAGTGTATGGTTAAGGAAGACCTGCATGAGAGAGAAATGTCTTTGAAGTCTCAGTTTATCTTCATTTAAGGAATTGTATAACTCTTTATGTCTTATTATACATCCATACTTTAATATAAAAATGTTCACATTCAGTTTTCCAAAATTTCCATAAACTCTTGGAAAACAGCTGCCCCAGGTGGGGACTCTGTGCCTTGTGCCTCCGTAGCGTGAGTCCTGGGTACAAGGTTGCGTGCCCCACAGGCTGCAATCCCGAGTCTGGTTTGGGGACCAACATAAAAAGGGGTCGTCGTCGTGTTTCCGCTGAGGTCTGAGAACGCCCTGGGTCTCTGGGGCACAGCCAGACAGCGAGCTTCCCTGTGGCCCAGCAGGGAGGTAGTTGGAGCAGGAGCAATAATCAGGACCCACGGCTCCCTCTGCCACATCTCTCCGAGTGGATCCTATGGCACTGGGTGGGCAGGCCTGGGTGACACAGTTGTTGGGAGCCCATTGCTTGGTAAACTCAGAGCCTGGGTCTATCAAAAGCCAAAATTAAGCTCTAAACAAAGCACAAAGGTAATATGCTCTGTTTCTGAAATGGAATTAGCTTGATCGTGCAAGAAACAGTATTATTTTGACAGACCCACTGCTGGACTCTATGGCACCTCTCTGCAGACTAGTAAACAGCACCGCCTCGGCCAGAAACTTTACTTCCATCTGTCAGGAAATTCGGAAAACCGCGGCTGATTTGGTTGGGGGGGGGGCACTCTACTGCCATCTACTGGAAAGTAGTTGTAATAAATCTAACATGTCTGTGATGTGAGGGGCACAGCCTGCACTGCTGCACCCAGGACTCTTTAGCCATGAGAGTAGGCTGTGGTTTAAGAAATGGTCTTTGGGCTGCATAGAAGGAGGGCAAAGCTCAGTGGCAGCTCCAACCTTCCATCTAAGAGACTACACACAGGTTGTGCCGGGCACAGAGCTCTTGAGACACTGTGGTGTTGGAGGAGGGCGTGGAGTTTGCAAGGCTATTTCGTAGCAGCGTTCCAGTCATTCCGGAGCTGGGGTGGAGGGTGATTCTTAGGACTAATGCTAACACCACACTACTTGATAGAAAAGAGCTTGCCTCTGCATGCCTGCAGGAGACAATGGTGCCTTCACTTTGTTGATAACAAGTCTAACACTGAAACATGAGCACATGGTAGCTACGCGTGACAGTGTAATCCAGGAGCTCCAAATCCCTGCTAGCTGGTTTGCGCACTCTATCTCAGATCCTTATGCTAGCATAGCCATGAGAAAGTGAGCCGACTTTTGTCCTGCTTGGAGATGAACACGGAAAGTCTGTGCAGCAGTACAAGGCACAAATGATGCTCCTTAGATCTAAAACTATCAGGTGCCCCTCTGCCTCTCTTCCTGTAGGTGTTGATTCATTCAGTACGTCAGACAAAAAAAAAAAGACTGCCGTATCTAGTTAACTCATGCTGCATAACAAAGCACCCCAGAGTTTAATGACTTAAAAGCAACAAATATCTGTAAAGTTCATGGGTCTGTGGTTTGGGCTGAGCCTAAGCGGGGTGTGAGGGGGGCCACTCTCTGGTCTCAGCTGGACTCATGTCTACACCTGCAGGCAGTTGGAGCTTGGCTGGTCTAGCAGGGCCTCAGCTGGGTGCACTCTCATCTAGATGGAGCTCATTCACATGGAGGCCAGGCAGGGTTCTGCGAGAGCTAGCAGAAGTGGGTGAGGCCTCTGGAGGCATAAGTGTGGAACTGACACGGCATCCCCTCCACAGTATCCAGTTGTCAGAACGAGTCACGGTGCAGATTCAAGGGGTGGGAGTCAGCCCTGGCCTCAGGATGGGAACCACCACAAAGTCACATGGTAAAGGACCTGGATTTGAGGAATGCAGGACTGTGGGCATTTTTGGAGTTTGTCACTGCTGCCAAGTACAGGTGATATGCTCAGTTCCATGGACAAAATACGAAAATCCTACCTGTCGGGGGTTCTGAGACTTAAAAAAAAAAAAATGTATGTATCTGTTCATGAAAGACACACGAGAGGCAAAGACATAGGCAGAGGGAGAAGCAGGGCCCCTGCGGGGAGCCTGATGTGGGACTCAATCATAGGACCCCAGGATCATGACCTGAGCCAAAGGCAGACGCTCAACCACTGAGCACCCAGGTGCCCCGGGGGTTCCTAAGACTTAAGGCAAATGGGAAAGATAATAAGGGAGCAGTTGAAACCCTGCTTGATGAGTGCCACAGTAGAGATGAGTTACTTCCCTGGAACTGAACCTGTGAGGCATCACACCATCAGCAGGCAGAGTTCTGTGCTAAAGAATTTTTATTTAATTTAATTTATTTATTTATTTATTTATGAGAGAGAGAGAGGCAGACAGAGACACAGGCAGAGGGAGAAGCAGGCTCCATGCAGGGAGCCTGACGTGGGACTCAATCCCAGGTCTCCAGGATCACGCCCAGGGCTGAAGACGGCGCTAAATTGGTGGGCCACCCGGGCTGCCCTGAGCTAAAGAATCTTACATCCGTACCACATCCAGCTTAGTCTCATGATTATGTTCTTCCCAGCACAGAAGGTGCTCATGACACATTTGTCCAGTCAATCGCATTTTTATCCTAACAGTATTTCAAGCAGTAACTTCTTAGACATTTCCAGTAAGTCATGGGTTGCTCTTCTGACCTTCTGTGGGTGTGCTTTGGTGGCCTTAACAAAGGCTGTTTTCCAAAACATCCAGACCAAGCCCCTGTTCTACATTCCTTGCAGAAGGGAGAAGACGGTAGAGATTTAAGGAGAAGAAAAGTGTGTGTGCACACAGGAGGTGGAGCGGGGGTCTCAGAAAGTGGGGTTCTGGCACATGCTAGAAGAAACTGCCAGAGCTGAAAACGCTAGGAACTCAGTGTCCACAAAACTGGACATGAGGGTTGAAGCTCAGAACACAAGATCCAAAAAAAAAAAACACAAGATCCTTGCCAGTTGTTTGAAGAAAGCTTCTTCCCATTCACTCAGACTGCACCATTCACTCTGCTCAAAGCAAATTATCAGGATTCCCGTGGCAGTGTGGGTGGAGATGTTTCCTGGCAGCTGCCTTGACAGCTCTCATCTTCTGCTAGGCCAATTAGCCCCTTCTTGGGGGGAAAGAATCCTAATCATCAGAATGACTGTGGACGCTCAGTTCATGGTGAAGGAGCTGGAGAACATGGGCATGCTGCAAAAATTGCTGGTCGTGAGCATTTTTAAACATGGGAGTTACAAGCTCGCAACAGTACCACAAACCTGCAGTGCCACAGAGCTGCCAACAGCAGACCGAATGTGTGTGGCTGTTTGAATCCCCCCATTCAAGGCGACTGAAGTGGGGGTTTGAGCATGGGTAACTTCAGGAAACACCAATTGGAGCAGAGAAGTGAGACAGGAAAAAGAAGGAAGCCAATAAAGACATGGTAAGACCAGTTGCAAGGGCATCTGGGTGGCTAGGTGAGCATCTGCTTTTGACTCAGGCCATGATCCCAGGGTCCTGGGATCGAGTCTCACATCAGGCTCCCCATGCGGAGCCTGCTTCTCCCTCTGCCTGCGTCTCGACCTCTCTCTGTGTGTCTCATGAATAAATGGGCACGTTCCACTGGGAAGGTCTGGTAGGCCATGTACCTGAGGGTTGTCACACCAGGGAGGGAGCTGGTGGAAACTACTCCCGCTGGTCAGGCTTAAGGGCAGAGGCACGACGGGATGTCTGACCTTAGAAACAGTGGCCACTAACGCCAGTGAGCAAAGGACAAGACATGCCAGGTCTCCCTGAGCGTGAGCGAAGGTCAGCTCTGAGCTACAAAATTACTCAAATATCTGGTGGGTTTTACCTGTGATGCTTGTGTGAGAACAGCTAGAAACTCATCCTCCAGTATATGAAAAACCATAAGACATCAGAGGCAAAGGCCTTTCCAGAACTCAGTTAAAGGGAACTGCTATCCTGGATCCAGTGAAATGCCAGTTCCAGGGGAATTCACGCTGCTGGCTCTGAGGCTGGCCCTGTGTGTTTTGTAGGTCTGAGAGAAAGATCTAGAGGGACAGCATGTTAGACTGCAGACCTGCAGACACTTTTAAAAGCCTATTATGTTAGAGCAGTATTTATCAGTTAGCCCACAATGGCGAATGTCGCCCAGGATATGAGTAGATTTATCGAAAGCCAAATGAGCTCAGGAAATGTCAAGTCCCTGAGTTTCTTAGATCCTTTCCTTTTTTTTTTTATTAGATCCTTTCCTAAGGGTTTATTAGACCCTTGACTGTTCTCCTGTACATTATTACACAGCTCAGAGAGGAAGAAAGAGTGCAACATTTCCCAAACTTCTTTGACCATGAATGAAACCTACTTTATTCCCAAATGCCTTTGAGTAACGCTCAGGAACTAGTGTTCCCCGGCACACCATTCAGGAAACGCTCCACTTAAAGCACTTAACAAGGAACAGTCAATCATAAGATAACCTGGAGGAAGTCCATGCATTTTGAAAGATTGCTCCACAGTAATGCTTTTCCTACATCAATCTACTCTAAGGGATTTTCCAAGCCCTCCCAGCTCTGTGAGTAGAGGTTATACCTCCTCCTCACCCAGGGAATCGGAACGACTGATTCTCCAACATTCTAACCTGGCTTCTCCTCTCTCTGCCTTTTAGATGGGCTTCTTTCGCCGAAGGTACAAAGAAATCATCGAGGCCGAGAAAAACCGGAAAGAGAACGAAGACAGTTGGGACTGGGTCCAGAAAAACCAGTGACCTGCCACGCCAGTCACGTGACCCAATCATTCGCCTGTATCTTGATCTTTGTATCTTCCATATTTGGAAGAAAGAATCTTCTCCAGATTTTTCGGAGGCCCCACTGATGCTGTTCTCTTCCTCATTTCACCAAGCCCAGGAGCCAACCTGAGGCAGCCACTCTGGCCAGGTCACATGACTACAGCCACCACCCATTTCCTTTTAGAGATGAACTCCGAACTTTGGAAAGCAAGCTACAGAGATGAGCAGTATTTATGGATGCAACGTGTGTGGTCAACCCTCAGGGGAAAACTGTTACCTAAAAGTATTTTTATAAATATAAGCCTTTTATACTGATTATGTCTTTATATTTGTATCGATGTTTTGTTATTTCTATTAAATAGTTATATAATTCACTCAAGCACTGATATCTGGCCTGAAAGCTTGGAAGTCCATGTGCATTCATACACCTTTTAAAGGATAAAAATCTGATCGTACTTTGGAACTTGCTGTTAAAAGAGACTCGGAGATGAAATAATCTGAAGAAAGCTCATGCGATGAATCCACCAGGCTGGTAGTGCTGCATTATAAACCGTGGTGGTGGTGAGACCTTTAAGACAATTCACATCTTTATTGCCTGGAGTCAGGTTTGAAGCAATGTGCTAAAGAACTGTAAGTAGCTTTTCATATGTACCTTTCACTGGGAGATTTCCAATAGGAACTTGGATGGAAAAGCCTGATCCTAGCACAAGTCTGCTCTGCATCACCTCTACAGCAGGCATCACACCCTCCTTCCACTTGGTTTAATAGATAAGAACTTGGAGCAAGGCCATTTGGTCATCTGGTAAACCTCAGGATGGCGTCTCATCCCGGACATCATGCATTGGAGTCCACACACCACAAGGACTAAGCTGGTGCCCACCGAGCAAAGACTTGTGTCTGGATGCTGTGATGTGTTGCCTTTTCACTGACTTCAGAGGTCTCCACTTCCCCTGCCATTCTTGCTGTCCCAGCTAATGGTGACTGCAGATTCTTCCCAGAGATGACCATTCAACCTGTCTTTAGTTTTTAAAATAGTGTCTTAAGTGAGGTTCGCCCAAAACAGACTCTGATAGAAGGATTTACATGCAAGTGACCGATTAAGGGAATGTCTGTGCCCCCGGAAAACTGCAGTAGGGGTATGAGGGAAGCAGGACAGGGAAGGGGAGAAAGCCAGGTAAGGGTGCCATTTCAGAGGATATCCCGTGGAGGGTAGCTTCAGCCTTATCCTACAAGGGAGCTCTGGAGGGCAAGTTAAGTCTCAGAGTTCTCCCAACCTGAGGTGAGGGAGCTGAGCTTCTATATTCTTGCTCCCAGGGGAGGTGTAAACTTCTCACTCTCAGTTCCTGGAGGCAGAATGGCTCTGATAGCCCAGAGGAAGTCTTCTAAAGAGAGCTGGAAGTGCACCCCCAGCGCAGGGAGGCATCCAGAAATGTTGTGAAAGAAATGATGCACAGGGATCAAGGCATAACTGTGACGTCTGCCCTGCCCCCTGTGTGTATGAATGCTGAGTTGGGGCCTTCCAGTCCCCCCATTTGACAATGTTTATTATCAGATGCACTGCTGCCCAGTTTTGAGTGCAAAATGGTTTTCTAAAAGGGCAGTGACATGACGGCTATAGTGTACTTAGCCCTGCGCCTGGCCCGTAGTGAACAGTCAGTGACTGGTAGCAGCTCTGGCTGCTGTCGCCACAGGCCATCTGATGAGAGAAAAAAACATGGCAAAGAACAGGGTCTGACAAAGAGTCCTTACTGGCTTATTACAGCCCAGTGATGCCCCAGGTACTTAACGGATGGCATCAAATGGACATGAAGCCAGAAATAGGATGAAAGATCTTTCTCAAAAGGCCTTGTTTGCTGGAAACTAACATGTTGGGGGTCTGTGAACATTGTTGCAAAGACAACTCCAGAGGAAAGGGATTTTTCTGTGCAGGTACTTGGCTAATACTTGCAAAAGCATTTAAAGTTGGGGCAGACTCATGAGGAGACCGGGCGGGCAGTTGTGAACCTGGCATGGAACAGAAGCATCTTTTTGTTTCTCATTATGCAGTTGACTCTGATGCAGGAAGACAATGTATGTATCATGTGTCCCCTCCTGGTGAATATGGGAATAGACAGCAAAGCCCAGAGGGTCAGTGGCATGAATGAGGCTGATCTTAGAATGAAGTCAGGGATGTTGCTTCTAACAGAGGGAGTCACAGAGGTGACTACTGGGCAGATGCAGGCAAAAAAACCAGTTCTAAGAGTTCACCTGTGACTTCTATCAAGAGTAACAAAGGCAGTTTTGAGTGGGTCATAGTCACTCATTTCAAGGATACTTATGGGGGCCCTGTAGGCCAGGAGCTGTGCTAGGTGCTGCAGGGTCCCCCGAGAACACCACAGGCATGTTTTGCCTGAAGAGCCAGACCTCCCTTCAAGAAGAGTGTAGAGAGTGAAAGCCTTTATGAGACCCCATGTGTAGCTTTCCTTTGCTGGATTCTTGTTCACTGTGTCATGTTGTCCTTTAATAAACCATTTAAGATTCTTAGGTGGTAGGCCTGGGTCAGCTCCATCAGCGGCTTTGACCAAATGCATTTATAGCCACTAACCAGCTTCCCACAAGGGGTGCAGACACATTGGCAGTAGTGTCGAGGATGACGCACCCTGCTCCTGTGGGCAGTGTCACAGCCAGGATCTGTTCGCCTCTGATTGATTCTGAATGGTAGACCCACAGGAGTAGTCATATACTCAGGATCACTAAGATTCCATAAGACAGTTCTTTTTAAAAATTGTACTTGGCCTCACTGGAAGCAAACACTGGCAGCCACTCCAGGAGTCTCTCTGGAGCAGGATGGTGCCCCTGCGTGTCCAATGGTGCTGAGTAGTAGGTGGGGCAACAGGGAGCCATTTAACACAGTGAGAAAGAAGCCAAGCACACTGTTAGCCCTCTCAACTGGGCATTTTACCAGCTCCACCCCAGCTCAGAAGCTCTCAAGAGGCTCTCAGGGGAAGCAGACAGGGTGAATGGCATCTGTGTTACTCCTCCAGAAAATTCTTTTAAAAGTCCACAGGGCATTCCAGTTTCTAACCTTCCTGCTTATATGGGTTCACTGTGGAATCCTATCAGATATTCTCTTACACAGCTGCTTCAGCTTCAGTCTGCTTCAGCTTTTAATTATGGATTCAGTATGGCATTAACTGTCAGAAGTATTGAGACAGTTTTTTAAAAATGAAAGAAGGACCTCTGTGAAAACTTAGGAAGAGAATGCCTTCTGTTCAAAACTGATTTGCTTGTGCTTAATTGATATGGGACTCCTGAGTTGGGGACATCCCCCAGAGTGAGTCCTAGACCTGTCGCCATGAAGAGGCTGTAAAGTTTAGGAGTAAGGAGATGCTAGAAGAAGGGAGTAGGTCTGCTGGCTTTATGGTGACTCACAGGCACACATCTGGAATCAGCTCTGTGAAAATTCCATCCCCAGGAGTATTCCGAAGTTTGATAAATGCTGTAGAAAATCCAATAGAAAGTCCTCCGTCACCATATCAAGAGTAGCCTACAGTCTTTGAGCCAAAGACATGGGGATTAAAAACAAACAGAAACCCAGCAGGCCTCCCGAGAACATCTGGGACCTGTTTTCAATGCAGAAGTGTAATAGATCCCCCAAGTGATACCCGTGCTGTATGCTACCTGTTAGAACCCTAGCGGGGTCATTTTTTAAAGGTTATTCTACTACTTTTATTTTTGGAAAAGGTATTACGGCCAGGGGAATGCAGTAACACATAGGTCACAAAGGAAATGTGCATCTGGTGAAACCTACATACACCTGACTCAAACTTCTGGGAATTTAGAGGCACTGTAAAGGATGGTTATGCAGAGGAAATGGCCCTGTAGCAGAAGAAAAGGCAGAAAGTGAGTGTCACTTCAGAAATACTCCAATGTACAGGATGTGGTGCTCTGCTGTCCTGCTGTATAGAGCAGCAGTGTACACAGTGGAGAATATTTTCTGAAATGAATGGCTAAAGGAAGGATACAGAGCCAGTAGGGCCAAGATGAATCTTCTAGAATGTCTTCCGATTTTCAGCACATTGTGAGGGATAATGAACAAATTTCCCATGTGGTGCAATGCTTTATAGCACAATGATCTAGATCTCAGACTTTGTTAAGGTTTTTTTTTTTTTAAATTCTAATGTGCACAGTGTGATGGGCAGAATGAGTTTAAAAGCTTTAAGAGTGATTAATTGCATGGCAGACACCCACGCTAACTTCACTTCCAGAACTTGACTGATGCATCCATGTACATTTCTGCTGAGGACTTTTGGTGGGAGGGGTCACCCCTTACAAAGTCACATGTATTAAAGTCTATGCAGTCACTTCTAATTCACTTGCACTATTTGGGAAATGCAGGTTTACAAAAATACACATTTGGAATAAAAAAATGGCTGCAAATGATTCAGGAGTTTGGTCTATAATTTCTTTGCTGATTGAAGAACTTGAGCCTTTTTAGGATGTTGAAGATGGAGTTTGAATGCAGTACTTCATGAGCATTGACGAGCATATGCAGGTCTATCTAGTCATGCATGAGCAACCCCCTCAATGTGGCTGAACTGTTTGCTGTCCTTGGCCTCCATCCCATAGCCACCACCTTCTCAGTGCATCACTCACCTGCCCAGAGCCACACCCAGGACCTTGATATTTTTTTAAAGATTTTATTTATTTATTCAGAGACACACAGAGAGAGGCAGAGACAGAGACAGAGGCAGAGGGAGAAGCAGGCTCCATGCAGGGAGCCCGATGCGGGACTTGATCCCAGGACCCCGGATCACGCCCTGAGCCGAAAGCAGACGCTCAGCTGCTGAGGCCCCAGGTGTCCCCGGGACCTTGATATTAAGATAAAAGTGCCCAAATTAAATGAGGTGGATTCCTTGTTATGAGTAGACTGCTTCCACGTGTTCCCACCAGTCACCAAGCATTTTCCGAGAAGTGTTTTGGTAGCATCCTTAGACGTTTAGTCGTGTTCTCTTAGAGTTGTCATCTCTGTCTAGTTATGTCCCTGTTCCTTTCTCAAATGTTGTTCATTTGTGTGTTTTTCTCTTTTTCTCAAGAATAAGCCTTTGGCTGTACCAAGCAGATCTACTGGTATTTTATTCCTATTTCATTGATTACTGCCTTTATATTTGTTAAAATTTACTGCCCTATAATGAAAATTCACGCACAAACACCACAGAGTGTAGAAGGTGGATGAAAAGATACACACCAAGGGATCAAAAATGGTTGCCTTTAGGTAGATGGGATTGTCAGTGTGTTTTGGCTTTGTTTATTGTTTTGTTTTTACTTATCTGAATTTAGTTTGCTACAGTAAGCAGGCATTTCTTTTGTAACAATGAAGCGTATGCAAATTATTTATTCAATAAAACTACACCTGGCACAGTGTGCATTGCTTAGGAAAGAGATCCCAATTTGCAAGTCTAGAAAGAGAAGAGATTTGTGTGCAGCAAACAGCATTGATGAGCCTGACTCTGAGGGCACTGGTCCAGTGAGTAATTTCAAGCTTTTTCATTCTGGATGCTTCCTGGCTTAACAAGACCTGCCACCATCTAATTAAGTACATTTCTCTTAAGGTTGCTTAACCTGTTTCCTTAAGCCAGGAAAATGCCTGGACAACCTCAAAAGAATCAAAAGATACAAAATTAAGAGGAAGAAAAATCGCCAATTAGTCGTGTCAGCCCCCTCCTTCAATCAAGAGTTTTTCAATCCACCAGATTACATCTGGTCCTTAAAGTGTCTGTTCATCAGGTTACTGTGCTTAGTAACAGAATTAATGTAAGTGCTCACTTAGAGCTCTGCCTGCATTATCAAACCAACTGGCAGCTATCCATCAGCAAAGCCGCCTGACCCTGAGATCACATCTATTCATTCTATGTACACATCCAACTGAAGTGGATATAAGAGGGTATTGCCATCTCTGTGCCAAGACCTGAAACTATGCCATCTGGGCTTGCTGCCAGACCTCTGCTATGCCTCAAAGTTTAGTCAAGATCATTTTGCACTTTATTTGATATGATTGTTCTGTAATTGAAAAAGATCCTAAAAATCAAAACAAATCTCAACAAAACTATAACCCTTTGAAGACACCAAATAGATGAAAAAGCAGGGAGAGGGAGCGGATTTTAAAAAGTATTTCCAAGAAACTTTTTCTAAGAAATGACAGATCAAGAAAAATGAAATTCCCTCCAAATCGACATCCATTCATAACCACCTTATCAGTTAAGAGAATACTTGGCTCCATACCATAGGAAAAAAATCCAAAATAACAATGGTTTAAACCTGATAGAAGTGTGTTCTTCTCTCACACAAAAGACGACCAGGTCTGGATCATCACAGTCTCATATAGTAGATTCATGAATTATCAGGAGATCAGCTCCTATCTTTCTAGACATGTGGTTTTCATTCTTAAAATTGTTTCATGGTTCCGGATGGCTACCAGGGTACCAGCCATCATGGCAACCTTCCAAGCCAACAGTAGAGGAGGAGGATAAGATGGCACATGCCTCCTCCCTTTTAATTAGCCTTCCCAGAAGCCCCATAGAACACGAACCAGAAATGAGTCATCAAATTGCACCCACCCACAAAGGAACATGGGGAGTGTATTATTAAGGAATAAGAGGAGTGTACATAACTTTTTTTAGATTTTTTAAATTTTTATTTATTTATGAGACAGAGAGAGAGAGAGAGAGAGAGAGGCAGAGACACAGGCAGTGAGAGAAGCAGGCTCCCTGCCAGGAGCCCACTGGGGGACTGGTTCCCAGGACCCTGGGATCACACCCTGAGCCGAAGGCAAACACTCAATTGCTGAGCCACCCAGGTGCCCCTCATATTCTTTCTTTTGCAGTATAATTAACATACAGAGTTATATTAGTTTCAAGCATACAGCGTAGTGTTCCAACAATTCTATACGTTACTCAATGCTCATCACAGTCTAAGTGTAGGCACCATCTGCCAGCAATGTTATTTCAATTTTATAGACAGTATTTCTTATGCTGAACTTTTTATTTCTGAGATTTCTTTACTTTGTAACTGGAAATTTGTACCTCTTAATTCCTTTTATCTGTTTCACCCATTCCCCACTCCACCTCCCTTCTGGCAACCACCAGTTTGCTCCCTGTATTTAAGAGTCTGTTTTTTGTCCTTTTGTTCTATTTTTAGATTCCACAGGTAAGTGAAATCACATAGTATTTGTCTTTTTCTGTCTGATTTATATCACCCAGTATGATACCCTCTAGGTCCACCCATGTTGTTGCAAATGGCAAAATCACAATCTTTCATTCTTTTTTATGGCTGATATTCTATTATATATACACACACATATATGTCTATATATGGTATATATGTGGTATATATATGTATGTTATATATATGACATATATGTTATAAAGAAGACGTGGTATGTATATATATATATCACGTCTTCTTTATAATTCATCTATGGATGAACCCTTGAGTTGCTTCCCTATCTTTGCTATTGTAAATAATTCTGCAATAAACATACTGCA